CCCCCAGGGCTGAGGAGAGGGGCAGGATCACCTCCCTCGACCTGCTGGCAACACTCTGCCTAATGCACCCCCAGGCCACCTTTGGCCTTCTTGGCCACAAGGGCACACTGCTGCCTCATGCTTAACTTGTTGTCCACCAGCACTCCCAGGTCCTCCTCTGCAGAGCTGCTTGCCAGCAGGTCAACCCCCAGCCTGTACCGGTGCCTGGGGTGATTCCTCCCCAGGTGCAGGACCCTGCCCTTGCCTTTGTTGAACTTCAGGAGGTTCCTCTCCGCCCAGCTCTCCAGCCTGTCCAGGTCCCTCGGAATGGCAGCACAGTCTTCTGGTGTGTCAGCCACTTCCCCCCAGTTTAGTATCAGCAGCAAACTTGCTGAGGGTGCACTCTGTGCCTTCATCCGGGTCATCAGTGAATACGCTGAACAAGACTGGACCCAGGACAGACCCCTGGGGGACACCGTTAGCTACAGGCCTCCAACTAGACTCTGTGCCACTGACCACAACCCTCTGAGCTCTGTCATCCAGCCGGTTCTCAATCCACCTCACCGTCCACTCATCCAACCCACGCTTCCTGAGTTTACCTAGGAGGATGTGATGGGAGCTAGTGCCCGAAGCCTTGCTGAAGTCCAGGGAGACAACACCCACTGCTCTGCCCTCATCTCCCCAGCCAGTCATTCCATCAGAGAAGGCTATCAGATAGGTCAAGCATGATTTCCCTTTGGTGAATCCGTGCTGACTAGAAGTATAAATATCTTGTGCCAAAGAAAAATGTGCCAGATAATCTGATATTAAATATTGCTTGTTGCTTAGCAGTAGCAAGTAAATCAAATCATCTTTGGATGATTAGCAAATATGGAGACTGAATGCAGTAAGCTAGTTAGGATGCTTTTCAGTTCTGTTGTGGCGCTATTACGATGTGAAGCAAATTAGTGTCCACAGCTAGTACACTGCACTTGAAGGATGACCTCAGAGGTATAGATGATCCTTTAGTCTGAAGGGAGTTTAAAGAATTTAAAAAATTCTTGAGCACAACAGTTAATGAAATGCAGACAGCTCTAGGGTCACAATACACATGAGGAGATGTGAGATTTTGGAACATGTATTGATTCTTGTGGAAGTTTGAAGTGTATGGAATTTAATTATTAGATTTTGAAGTTGGCAAGACTTGAAAAAAGTCTTGATAAAGTCATGATAAAACTGCAGCCATGTAAACATCCTATTTGTGAGTTACTTTGCTTTGTAGTCAGCATCTCTCTCCTTCTGTCTCCCCGTGACATGGTTCAGTAAGTTCATAATTCAGATTTTTCCTTTATCTCTACAGAGAGCATCATAGAATAAGATTGATGAAGGAGATGTATTTTGCATCCCTAAAGGAGGTTTGACATAGAACTAGACATCTTCAAAATAACAAAGGCTGCTTAGCTGTGGCTTGATTTCTGTGAGGCATGTATGTTGAACAATGAATTTGTAAAGTCAATTTTTCATGGGAGAATCAAATGCACTTTAGGAAGATAGAGAGTATTAAACTCTGATGTGGTGAATTCACCGTCAACTGCTTCTCACTGTCAACTGCTTCAAGAGGTAGACACGGACAGTTAAGGTAGTTTGAAGAAATAGAGATTATCTGCTCACTCTTGTCTTCAGTTTCAATTGCTGAGTATTTAGGAAAGGAGAGGTTTTGTTTCTTCTGTTTGTACAACACCTCACATAGTAGAATTTTAGCTCAAACATGGGACTCATGGAAGGTTCTAAAATAAGGAAAATCGTAATTAATAAGAAACAGGGACTTTCTTTCTCTGACGGTCTTTGGTCATTCTCTCTTGTTCAGTTTAAAAAGCAAAAGCTTCTAATAGAACTGGATAAATATGCACCAGACGTGGCTGAACTCATCCGGACGCCCATGGAAATGCATTACATCCCTCTCAAGGTAGCACTATTGTAAGTATTGCTTCTTGTAGGCTTCTTGTAGTCTGCAGCAGCTGATTCCTTATCTCCTCCTGGCTTTTGTTTGTTTGATTTGGCGTTTCAGCATTTGTTGACTTTTTTTTTTTTTCCCCATAAAGCGTGAATCTCCTGTTGCACATACATGTTTCCTCAGCCCTGAATACTCAGTTTGAATCAATCAGTCAAGTGAAAAGCAAAAGTTCTTCCAAAGGTATATTGCCAAAAAGTAAATTTGCTCAGGCCCTCTAAGAAGGGCTAAACAGCATAAGGTCATTGGTTTGGTAGCAAGAATGTTGTTTCTCTGTAGATCGCATTCCCATTTATTTTGCCTGTATGCTAATGTCATCAAAACTAATTTTATACCTCCCATATGTTTCAGGTGTCTTTTCAGTCCTGAAAACTGTCTTTTGGTTGGGGGGAGAGTTTGGAGTAATCAGACAAAATCTTTTCTGAATATCAAAATATGAAAATCTCAGATTTTTTTCTAATAGTTCAAAGATATTTTTAGGTTGTTGGTATTAATAGTGTCATGTCTTGGTGTTCCTCTGTCTGTTTTACATTTTTTTAATTTCGGAAAACTTCAGTTAAAATATGAGATAATGTACAAGTAAGGTATTTAAAATTAAAGAATTAATTTTTTCATTGAGGTTTTGACCTGAAAAAATTATTATATGAAATTATTCTGGCTCTGAAAAGAGTTTTTCATTTGATTATTATTTTTTCTTACTGCCTTATGAATTTAGTAAAATGGTAAATTCCCCGGGGTGAGAAAGATGGATCTTTGTCTCTTTCGAATCTATTTAAATTGCAGACTGTTTTATATTTTTATTTAACATTAGTGCACGGCATCAAAGGAAAGTTGGCATTAGGCTGTCTCTATCTGGAAACACAGGAAAAAGCAAGACTGGGACCCAGAGAAGTAGGAAAAATGTTTATGTAAGGAGATAATGAGGAAATCAGCAGACCCCTCTCCTTAGTCTAACGGTTGATTTAGTTATACCAGAGTTGATTGATCCATATCTTGCTTGTTGATAATCCTTCACAGCATTTTTTGCACTTTGTACCTAGTTAAATGAGATCAACGTAATTCTCATTTCCAAAAGAAGCCAGCAACCTTACTAATTAAAATGTAGTTGTATTCTGGAAAGTAAGTTTGTTCTGGGTTTGCTGTGGTATTTGCATATAAAAAGTTGACATATTTTAAACTGCCACCTTGGGAGCTGAGAATCAGTTGATTCATGTAGGAGTGACTCTTGTGCTCAGATCATGCTGTGGTGAATCTAAGGAATTGCACTACCATAGTAGCAGTGCACAGGTGGTATTGGGTTGCTAATGTACCAGAAAGAGAATTGGTTCTGTCTTTCTGTCTTACTTTTGTTACTTCTTCAGGGCCAGCAGATGTGAGAAATGGAAAGAACTTGCTTTGGGCCTGGCATCTATAGGTCTGAATTTGCTGTAGGACTGAATGCAAAGCACATAGCTTCTGAGAAGCAAGGAACATTTTTGATAGTCATTTTCTAGGACAGAACTTGCATTTAGATATCTTCCCAACCATCTCCTTTTCTGCAGTGTGCTCCCAATGGCCATTGTGTCCCAGGCTGCAATCCAAAGATCTGAGTTTTGCTTTAGACAAAACACCAGTTCAGCTGAGTCAATTTGCTGATGAGAGGAACCCATAAGATGTAAACAAACAAAATGAAATGGCGAATTGCATCTCATTTTCCTTTGAACTTCTCTTTATTTAGATGTTACCTCCTTTGAATGGCATGAATATGACTTGAGGTTTTGCTCTTTTTCAGCTATCTCTTAAACCCTTACACTGTGATGTCTTGTGTGGCAAAGTCTACCTGCACTATCAACAATACTGTCATTGCATTCTTCATTTTAGCTACAATAAAAGGTAATACACCGGGGAAAAAATGATTCTTCATGCCTTTCTGTAAAGATTATAAAAGTAATGGAAATTAAATCAATGTAGATCTTTACAAGTGTGATTACTACAAAGATTTCAGTGGGACACATCGGAAAGTGAAATGGAGCAATATCTAAGTTCTACTTGAAATCACAAGAGCCCAAGAGACTTTAATGATGAGAGGGGCAAAACTTTCTCTTATCCCAGTGTGCCTAGGAGTTTCATCTCTTAAAAACTACCTTCTTTTCCTCGATCACTTTCTGTTTACAAAGAAACCTGTGTCTGTGCATTGTAGTCTAGGAGGACATCATGTTCTGCTGCTTTTTCTTGTCTACATGAGGAAATCCTTAAAGTAACATTGCCTGCAACTATTATTTGACTTTCACTCGGAATTGTAACCTTGGTTCAAAGTTGGCTAATGGAGCTGTGAGGAATAAGAAACGACGAACAAAGATCCACACTAGCCTAGTTGAATACACTATGACAGAATGGTTATTTTGTTCGTTTTATAGAGAAAACCAGGTTTCTGTCTCTTCCATGAACCCCCACTGCTAAAGCATTTGAGCACAGGATTTATACTAGTCATACTTTTTAGGAAGGCCTCTGCTGGATAAGAGGAAAAGTCAGTCCGAAATATTATCTTGTCTCTAGAAGTGGCCAGAACCAGACCTTGCAAAGAAAGCTGGTGTAGTTGTTTTTTTATTAGTATTTCCAAAAGAAAGTTTTCCTCCAATTATTGGCCAATTGAGGTAGGAGGGATTTTAATTTAAAAGCATTTGCAAAAGTAAATGAGCAGGGTCTGTTTGGCTTAAACTGATTTTTAGCTGTTCACTGACACCATAAGACAGTTTTGTAATAGGCAAAACTGTATTTGCTATCCTGTGTGTTCTCTGCCTGATTTGGTGTGTGGTAGCCTCTAGTTTTGAAAGTGGGCAAAGAGAGAATGTCAGATCAGGACAATGATTTCTGGGTACCAGTTCTTTAGAGCTATGCAGTATTTAATGCTCTGTAAAATAGAGGATAGGAAGCCTACTGCCTAGGAGACTTTAAGAGAAGACTTGTCACCAGGCTGTTCTTTCTCTTTTTAAAAGATGGAAGCAGAGAAGCTTACCAAGTATTTGATGTCAGTGACTGGATATGGCTGATAATTAGCCCAGTGTACTGAGTCAGGATTCTTGCTAAGCTGTATTTTTACTAATAACTTTGATCAAGTGACATGAGACAAAAGCTCTAACCAGGCTACTGCACTGGGTGCTTCTGTTTTTTTCATGTATAACCTGAGACCTTTTGGACTTGATCTTTAGTGGGAGGCAGCCCCCCAGCTGTAGATAAGGTGATTGGACAGTGTGAGTACTCAGCAGTTAGCTTAACCAGAAATGCCTCAAATAAGGCCTCCTCAACAGAGACATTCATATTTAAAGACCGCCTGGAAAAACTGGGCCAATCCTTCCTATACCTCAGTTTTTATATCGGTAAATAGGGCTATTGCCACTTCTTTCTTTCAGCTGCAGACATTTGCTCACAGAGCTTTGCTGAGTGCCCTGACACATTCTAGTGACAGTGGCATCTGCTATGCCCAGCAGTAACAGCTGTTTTATGCAGAAATGACTTAAGTGAATGCATTCCCCCTCATAAACAGGAGTCAGCATGACTGGCTACTATATATAGGCTGGGTTATATGAATCTCTTTCTGTATTTAAATTATAGGGAATATAAACCAGTCAGTGGTCTTTTCTTGTAGGAGAATCATTTGGGTATGAGTCATTCTCCTTTCAAAAGTGTAGTTAACAAAAGGGCACTCTCCAGGACACATTCTGTTACTCAATAAGTGGCATTCTGGTATTTGTAAAGCCCTTGCATGGGGTTGTGCGGTTCTTTCCATTTGGACTTCTTGTCTCTAAGGCTGTTAATATTAAATTTTCCTTATGAATGAACTTTACTTTTCTCTTTGCAGGTAGTGCCTTCCTCAGTGCTGTATTCCTGGCCTTAGCAACCTACCAGTCACTGTACCCTCTCACATTGTTTGCTCCGGCACTCCTTTACCTTCTACAGGTAAATGATTTCTAAATGTATCTCTGTTGGCTGGTCATAACTGTGCAGGGGCAGTTCTTCTCAGCTACTGAGAGAGGGGAGTCAGGGGCAGGTACTGAGTTTCAGAAAAAGTGCCTCTCTCCTCAGGCTGTGGAAAGTTTAAAGCCTTAATGGGAATGCCTGCACATAGAGCGAAGGAAGCAGACAGTTATCTTTAGAACTGGTTAGTGTCTAGCTTGCCTGAAATATGTTCTAGTCTTTGTGTCATGTGATTAACGAGGAGGATTTTAGACCAGAAGTTTCCTTTGCACTGATATGGTCATTGAGCTGTGGTTGAATGAGGAGCCTTATGTTTGAATCTCTCAAACCCAGAAATACTGTTTTGAAGTTTCAGGCCAAAAGGCATATGCTTTTCAAAGCAGCCTCTCTCCCTCCCCGTTAGCAGGGTGGTTGTTGAATTCCGTCAGCGCTGACCTTAGCAGACGTGCACTGCTCCAGGTAAAACTAGCCCATCAGTAGGCTGAGTAGGCGCATCTGCAGAAAGGGGTAGGTTTAAAGCTGAGGCCACTCTTTGCTACTGAGCAGAAGACAGCTTGTGTAAAGAACGTTGGACTCCTTGGGCTGTGAAATAGGGAGAATTGGATAGGGATGGCCGGCCAGAAGGAAAATGGAATTGCCTGATTCATCTGATCATTTTACCTGCATGCTTCCCCTTGGTCTCTCTCTTAGCTTGTGTGCTGATACTCTAAACAGTAACTTACTTGAGAGTCCAAATCATAATGCACCTGGTGAAAACCGATCGTTTGGTATTTTCATCCTGATATGGGAGCAAGGAGAGGCTGTGACCATTAGCAGAGGACTCTTATCCCACATTCACAGATCGTTGGGGATCATTTTTATCATTTTGGCCGTTCTGAAGCCATGCCTGACTTTCTTAGTTGCTTCTGTCCTGTCTTCCTTATGATTTTTATAGCTGATCTTAACTACAGATTCATTACAGTCTATTCTCAAATCCTTCAGTTTCAGAAGAAAAGGAAGAGTCAGTTCTAGCCCCTTCTCCTTCCCTTGTTATCTGACATAAATGTCTCTTTCTTTTTCCAGGAATTTTATTATTCTTACTCTTTGCAAGACAAGAACTTCTGCAGAGTCAGTGTTGCTTTTCAATTTGCTAATTTTTAGGAGCATTTAGTATACTATATGTCGGTCCCAGTTATTTTCTTAGAACTTTCATTTCAGCTGTATATCTCTATGGCAGTAGAAAGAGAGAAGCATTGTGTTTGAAAGCAGTGATAACTCCTTTGGTAAATTAATGCGTAATTTGCAACTGACTTTAAAGGGGAGTGCTCGAATTTGTACTCTTTTATCCAAATTTGTAAATGAATTTTCTGCATTCTTTAATTTAATTAAATGGCTCAATTCTAGAAATATGGGTAACATGTGTGACTTAATTAGTCTGGATGAAGAACCTCAAGCAGTTTGTGCTTGAAATCTGCTCCTGCCAGTGCAGCAGTGCCAGTGTTTGATGCTTTCTTTCATCAGTTTAAAAAGATGTTCTAAACACTCAGGTGTGCTTGTGTCTTTCCAACTGATGGGGGGTGTGTGCCTGTTTGTGTTTTGTTTTCAGCGTCAATTCATACCAGTGAAACTGAAAAGTAAAAGCTTCTGGCTCTACACTATGCAGTATGCAGCGCTGTACCTGTGCAGCCTGGTGGTGATCATCTGCCTCTCCTTCTTCCTCCTCAACTCCTGGGATTTTATCCCATCTGTTTATGGGTTTATGTAAGTGTAAGAATTCTTACTGTTTTTCAGTCCAAGCTCTCGCTTGTGTTTTTTCTTGTGCGTCACATACAGGAGCCTCACTCGCTGTCCTGAAACATGTGCAATCTCTGAATCTACTGGCAATGCAGGAAAAGAAAAAATGTGTGTGGAGGAAAGCTAGTGTTAGCCAAATTTTGTTAGTTAAGTAACAGCAAGAATTAGAGAAAACAGGAGATGTGAGGAATAGGTGAGAGAAGTTACTTGTTTTTCAGTGAGTTGATTGAAAATGGCTTAGATCGTTGAGCTGCTGTGGCTGCAAAATTTTCTTCTCTGTAGATTTTAAGCAGGTTAGACAAGTGTCTGCTCAGGAGTGGTTTAGATCCTGCCAAGGGCATAAGGAAGGATTAATCCCTTTTTTTCTCCAGGCTTTCACCTCTTTGATTTCTCTTTCACATATTTAACATTTAGGTCCTCCATTCATTAGCACACATTGATTTGTTAATGTAACAGAAGCAGTGAAAAAGAACCTTTTAAAAATGTTGCCTTGACTTTTCTTTTTAAATTTCAGCCTTTCCGTTCCAGATCTGACACCCAATATTGGCCTTTTCTGGTACTTCTTTGCAGAGATGTTTGAGCACTTCAGTCTTTTCTTTGTATGCGTGTTTCAAATCAACGTGTTCTTCTACACCATTCCTTTGGCAGTAAAACTAAAGTAAGTACGTTCCTGTGCTAGTTTTTTGAGTCTATCTGAGTTGACAGCTTCTATATTTTATGCTGTTCAGTCTCCGCTCGTGGGGAGGAAAAAAGCCTTTCATGAAATGTATTTTTCTTCACTGACATACTTGCTATACGAAAAATTGTTTAAACTCTTGAGTTCACTAAGCCATGATTGTCCAGTGGAAGCTCATGAGGCTGGCACCAGAAGTCTGGATCCGAGAGCTTGGAAAAGATAGGTTTTATATAGGGCTATCCCTCTCATTTCCCAAAGCTTCAGTCTTTTAAGTAGAGTAAAATACTATGCTTGTGCTGGATTGAAATGAGCAAATATCTCATATCACTTACAAGCCATGGGCTTACATCAACAGGAAAGTAGCTAGTAGATGAAGGGAGGTGGTACTTTTTAAAGCACATCTAGAATACTGCATTCAATTTTTGGCCTCTCCATACGAGAACCATGTTGAGAAACTTCAACAAGTCCAGTGGAGGACCACCAAGATGGTCAGTGGGCTGGAGACCAGGGAGAGGAGCTGAGGGAACTGGGCTTCTTTAGCCTAGAGAAGAAGAGTTTTCAGAGGTGCCTGATAGCAGTCTTTCAATATCTGAAAGAAGATCATTGAGAAGATAGAGCCAGGCCTTTTGCTGAAGTGTACAGCAGGAGAATGAGAGACAGTGCCATAAACTGAAAGAGGGAAGATTTTAACTGGATATAAGAAAAAAAAAATTCACCATGAGGACAGTCAAGCATTGGAAGAGGGGCCTATGTCTTGTCCTTGGAGGTTTTCCAGATCTGACTAGACAAAACCTTGAGCAATCTGATATGAGCTCAGTGTAGACCCTGCTTTGAGGAGAAGATTGTACTAAAGACCTCTTGAAGTCCTCTTTCTCACTGGGCTGTGGCTGAGGAACCTCCTAGTGCTGTACCCTTGTACGCTCTTGGAAGTCCTTTTTTGCCATCATAACCTGTGCTAATGTTTGGAACTGGAAAGATTGTTTTCCTGCAAAGTACCCTTAAACCATGATCAGGTTTCTGAGGAGGCAGCAGATACCTGCTCAATCCTACCTCTGCTGGAACTAGGCCCTGCTCTGTGTCTGTATGTTTGGAAGGCTAAGGAGTAGCCTGTAGTCACAGGCTGTGACCATCACTTATGTGACATCACTCATGCGCCCTGTGAATTCAGAGAAAGAAAATGCCTCCATATCTCCTGGCATTAGGAGTGCTGTAGGGCTCTTGGAGGCCTGCATTTGCCAACAGGCTTCTGCAGAGGAGATATTTTTCAGGATATTTTCCTTCATCGTGTTTCCCTTTCTGTCAGTGTCCCAAAAAGCTGCTGTGGCATCATATTTATTGACAGCTGAGAAGAAATTAAGCGGCTCCTGTGTTTGGAGGGTATTCTCTCTTTAGGACAAAGTCAGTCCAGTTTCATCCTTACTTTTAAGTGTTATATAAACAACGCTAGCGATAGGGAAAAATCCATCTCTCCTTATACTTGAAGAACAAAGTTTGTTTCATGCTAATATTTAAAAGTTGACTCTAAAGGCCTTTCTGCCCAGACCATTGTGTTCACCGTCACCCTCCATTTGCATTTCTCTGTAGTACTGCAAAGCTTATTCACTCATTCTAAAAACAAAGCTGCACTTTAGACCCTACAGTAGCAATTCTAGGCATCACTATCTCATCTCTTTGTAAGGGGCACATCTAACTGATGTTGCTTGCATCCTTAATGCCTCCACTGCATGCATTTAACAGGCAGAAAGCTTCATAGGCTATGTGCCCCGACCCTGAGGAGACTATCTGGACCAACAAGCCTCTGACAGTGACACACCTTATCATTTTAGTGTTGAGAAAGTATTTGAGGAACTTAATTTATCACTTGCTGTGGTGTTGTGACTCACCTGTTGCATGGCAGAGTCCAACTCTCAGATTCTAATGGATCAGGACAAGAATTTGTTATTTCCTCTTACTCATAGTCACTATGAAAAATGTAGAAGATGTGCAACAGCTCCGGCTATGTAACAGGCATCAAAAGAGGGAGCAGATTAGGCTACAGAGATGCCTGCTCCCTGCATGAGCCAGTGGGATCAGAAAGCAAAAACTCGTAGCTGGAACTTAAAGTTCTTTATTGCCACAGCAAAGTGGTTAACTCCGGGACACTCCTAGTGGACCCCTGACAACGAGTTTACCCTTCTTTCTGATAAAAAAAACTTTCACTAATTGCCTGGATTCACAATGGGCTTATCCTGGTGACTTGGAATCAGTACCACCATCATTCCATACCAGAGGGATAACTGTGGGCTTCCCCAAATAACCTTCAGAACGGAGTTGCTAATTGCTTTCCTGTAAATTAGCTGGGAAGGAGCAGACAAGATGACCAACTGTGTAAATGTGTGTTGAATTCGGGCACGCAGTTTCTGTGTGAGGGCGGTGAGCAGACGTGCATTCTCTTGTACTGCTTCTCTGCAAAGCAGCTCAGTCTGTCCCACCCAGCGCTCAGAGGCTTGCTTGGGGAATGCACAGGGGTACAAGAGCCTCTTAAAGCCTGTCCCACAGTACGTTTGTGCCCATGCTGATCTTAATTACTCGTTTCCAGAGACCCTACTGCATCCTCTTACCCTTTGTGTCTTTTCCCTTCTAGGGAACACCCTGTGTTCTTCATGTTTGTCCAGATCGCAATCATTTCTATCTTCAAGTCCTATCCCACTGTGGGAGACATTGCACTGTACATGGCCTTCCTTCCAGTCTGGAGCCACCTTTACAGATGTAAGTTCTTTGTGTTTCATTGTTTCTTATCTGGAATGGGAAGGGGTCTGTCCAATAATTGTCACCACTGAACCAAATGAGGCCCATGTCTGCAGGCTCTTGTGGCCTCTCTGGGCAATCTGGAAGCAAGCTTGATTTCTGGTGATGCAATCTCTAAAGTATTTTTAGGACTGGAATTGAAAGAGATCACAGAGGGAATTCTCACTTTTACATTATCTTGCCTTTCTTTCCAAATTGTTCTGAACTTGCCAGTCTTGCACAAAGGATGTGGCTTATGCAAAGTACCTCAGTCCTTTGAATGCAGCCGTGGAAGGTTTCACTCCCATTTAAGGCTGTGTAATTTGAGTGCTGCTCCTGCAATTGATGAATCTCCCAGCCTTAAAATCCTGTCCCCTTGCAGTGATTCTTTGTTTTGCGCCTGCTTGTTTGCTCAGAGTGAAAGTAACTGGTTTAATCCAAGTCATGCTCCAGTTTGTCTTTCATGCTTCTTGACAAGCCTCTTTAGTTCTTTAAATCACCGGAGCGCTCCCTGATGATTTTCAAGCTCTGACTCTAGGACTCGCTACACAGGGGAGGTTTTGCAAGCCTGCCAGTGTAATACTTCTAAAGAGCTGCGTTTTTCCCAGTGCTGCCTGCTGAAGTCACCACAAAGCAGCTGCTTTGACCAATCCTGCCAGGCTGCCCTGGGCTTTAACTACAGTCTTTTCTCACCCAGGTCAAGTGTGTTTATGGGCAGCTAGCCTGTCTTATATCAGGAGACGTAATCAGGAGTCAGGAGCCCAGAGTAGTTTGGATATATTTGGCTTTATTTAAATGCTGGTTATCTGCAACCTCAGTGGTGGGGAGTAAATGGGGCACTGTTTGACTTTGAGACCATCTGCTGCATTAGTTTCACCCTAACGATAGCTGAAGCCAAAGCAACTGTGATAGAATACGGTGGAAAGCCCCCAGGCTAGCCCTGAGCATGTTGCAGCCATACCAGGTGACATCTGAGAAATCCTGATTCAGCTTTGGTGAGCTGCATGTACCAAGCACGCAAAGCAAAGGAATATGACTAGTGAGAGGGTCAGTCTTCTGTCAGACCCTCCCATTCCGCAGTGACTGAACTGAATTGTATTGAGCAGGAAGTTTAAAAAGGTAAAACGTGAACAGGTTTGGATGTGACAACACCCATTAAATGCTGGATAGCTCCCTTCAGTTGCAGAATGATCAGCAGTCCGTCAGTAAACTTCAGGGGTATTTCTTGAACTGTAGCCAAGCACAGCAACAGCAGTGCTGGGACGTACTATAATACTGCTGCCAGCGGTCAGGCATAAATAGTTCACAGAAAACAAAATCTCTTCTGGCCTTGTAGTTCCTAGCTCTTCTAGACAGAGCTGTTCTTGTTTTTTGTCTAACATCCTCATGCAGACTAATGGGTTCTGGCCACCCTTGCACCTCCCAAGGGCACGTATTTGTCAACACATTTGGCCTGTGTGAGTTTCCTCCTTTATGGTGCTTTCATTTTCTTAGCACCTCCTGAGAAAAGTATCTTTTCTTTCTATGGCCCTTAGGTTCATTTTGCGCTCTAGGTAGTCAACTTGGCAAGGTTAGGGAATGGCATGTTCTGCTCTCTCAATCATAGTGCTGGTGGAAAGGCCCTTCTGAGAACTGCTATTTACTGAAGTGGGTGCACACTTGGAGTAATAATGTCTGTCCGTGTGCTTCAGAAGTCCCTGTAGAGGGAGGACCTTTCAATGCCTCTGAAGCACAGCTGCCCAAAGTAGCTGTCTTTGATCTTCAACCTGAGTCTCAGCCTTTCAGCTATATTTATCCTACGTTTTGGAAGGAGCCTTATCTTCAGGAGCTGGAGAGACAGGGCTTTTGTGATCTTTAGAAGGGGAAATGAAAGAGTCTTTAACAGGCACTCTGCCTTAGCTGCACTCGTGAAGCTAAAAAACCAGAGTCCTCAGCAGAAGAATATCTGTTTGGAAGCAGGACCTAGAAAGAAGGAGCTACAAATGAGAGATTCATGCTCAAGCAAAGGCAGAAGTGTATATTTTAAAGGAAAATCATAGTGGATTTCACATGGAATCTAACAAGCGAATTATTAAACTGTGAAAGACTGTTTGTTGGAGAGCAGTGTTGGCAAGTGCCTCTCTATCACTGCATTTATCCTAAACACCATTGCTAGGTTGTGTGAGCACGGCTTGTCATTTAATGCATCATTGTAACAGCTTGTTTTTCTTTTGCAGTCCTCCGGAACATCTTCATTCTGTCTTGTGTGCTCATTGTCTGCTCCCTCCTGTTCCCCGTTCTCTGGCATCTCTGGATTTACGCAGGAAGTGCCAACTCCAATTTTTATTATGCCATCACGTTGACTTTCAACATAGGGCAGGTTAGTAAAGCGAAGCAAATGAGGCAGTGCTTTGGGGAGTGCAATGGAATGGGTGTCCTGTCAGCAACAGCAAATTCTGCAGTATGTGTCTGGCTCTTTGCATCCTGTGTAATCCTGCATAGCAGCTTCCTGACTCTGTTTGATCCAGCTGAAATCTACCTCGTCCTCACCTTCTGGCCCACTGGTGAGAAACAGAACTGTTGTAGAATTTGAATTCTCGCTTAACAATACAGCTAGGTTATGCTGCAAGTTACATAGCCTGCTGCTTGGTAGCAGAGGAAAAGTGTCTCAGTATGGCAGGACTAACAGCCAATGTGAATGGAGAAGGTCAGCTCAGAGAGGAAATGGAAAAGACCATGGGGCTGTGCAGTGAGGTCAAACAACAGGCAGACAAGAGCTGCTCATAAATTGGGACATAGTACCAATTTTTTCTGAAGCAAAGCATTACAACTCACTGAAATGTAGGACAGAGAGAATGCTCATGGTCCCTGTCATGCCCGGACTTTCCCTGCTTCTCTCAGGACTGTGCCATTCTAGATACGTGACTCTCCCTGGCATCAGGGAAAACAGCTTAGCACCCCTGGAGGATGAGGTTTAATAAACACAGTTGCTACAACCTTTTCTAAGCCCCTTCTCTTCTCTGTGCTCATTTTACAGGCTGTAGATCTTTACTGAATCCTAGGATATTTTCACATGCGTGAGAGCTGATTGTTCATTTCATGTTAAAGCTGGCATAATTTTGAATGCTCCTCAGCCATTTAAGTTTGTCTGCCTCTCCTAAAACTAGAGGTGCAGTTCTGCTGGGGGCTGAAAATCACCTGCTTATGTGACCCCCACCCCTTGATAAATGGGGGCAAACACCTGTTTTGGAAAAGCAAAAAGAGAGTAGGTGCAGGGAGTGGGAGGAGACTGAGAACAGAGATACTACTTGGAGGGTCTTACAGGCAATTGGGAGTGGTTTGTTAGCTCTCTAACTACATGAGTTGCTATGGAATGAAAGGAACAGTCAAGCTGCAGTTATAGATGCCTGTCGTTGATATTCTAAGAGGATTTTACTTCCTACTTGATAAAGTCGTAGCAGATCCTGCAAGGCTTTGTGCTCTGTATGAATGCAGATAGAGCAAAAATCTCCTCTCTGGTTTTCTTGTGAGAAAAAGCTAACCTTCACCCCCGTCAGGCCCCGTTCTTTCTTTTCCTATAAAAAGACATCTGCAGATAAGTTCAATTAAAAAAACAAAATCAAAGGTATTGATAGAGCGTGTCTGTAGTCAGCCATGGTGTTCAGCTAAACAAGCACACAGAATAAGTGCTCCTGATTTCTCTCTTCCATGGGCACCTCTGCCCTTCTCTACCTGTTCTCTTCCCCTCATTCTCCACTTACCTGAGCAGTCTGCAGCCCTATTTCCCTTTCCCTCAGCCTCCACCCAGTCCTCCATATCCTCCCTTCCTGCCACTGCAGCTTCTCAACAGTAGCTATATTTGACAGTAATAAAAGCAGGCTCTGTCTGACCGCCTGACCTTGTCCGTCCCCTTAGCACTGCGGCGTACTTCAGGTAAGGTTCTCCCAGGAGTGGCTTTCCCAAGCAGCTGGATGAATGCATTTTTCCAAACTGATGCACTGAGTGGCATATGGACATTATGGCAGAAACTGCTAACTTGGTCTGGTACTGGAAAAGTTTTCCGCTACAGTTATGCGATGCTATTTCCTGATGGAGGACGTCAGTGTTCACGGGGGAGGGTCACACTGCAAGAGGCTAAATGACAAATGGCATTACTGAGACAGCAGGTCACTGCCTGAGCTTACAGAAACCCAGCCTGCTTCTGCAAAGACAGCTTGCCCAAGGTGACTGCTGTAGAGAAAATGTCATTTATAAACACTACTCCAGCACAACTGACCCTGAGATCTCACCCATGACGGTGCTTTTAGGCTAGGGAGAAGCCAGCACCATGACACCTCAGTACAACAGAAGTGTGGGTTGGGGAGAGGAGTGACCTACTGATTAATGTCAGGCTTCCATGTTCTATGCAGTTCTTGAGCAAGGTACTTCGGCTGTGATTTCACATTACAAAGTGGCTGGAGGCAGTTCCAGCCTGAGGTATGTCCGCCTCGCTAGCCAGCAGCACATTGATTTGTGTAGAAGCATATTCTGAACTGGATTGGAGGAAAAAAAGTAATTTTGGGAGGTAGCCATCACTGTTCCCCATTTAAAGGAGCCAGAGTGCAAGCTTAAACACAGGGCTGTCCACCCCACAGAGCGGGTGCTACAGCACAGGGGCAGGAAGGAGATGGGAAAGCAGTGGGGATGGAAGGAGTGCTTTAATCTGATATTGCTCTTGGATAGCGTGCTGTGAAGCCACAGCTTTGGTCCTTCTGTTCTTTCCTTCACCTCTTAGCCTAGTACATATTACTTTTGTTAAACTACTAAAAACTTCTGTTTGCTAAGGTAGACCTATGAGGCTGTGGTGATTCTTCTGCGTGCAAGTCTCTTACTCTTTCTGAGTGTAAATGGCAACTGAAAAACAATAACAATTGAAAAGCGCTCAATAGCAGTCATCAGTAAGAGACTTTCAGCATTTGGGTTGGTTTGCCTGACAGCACTTGTATGGAAGAAGTTGTTCAAGCACGAGGCTTAGAGATGGTCTATAAAGCTGTGGCTGTTGGCCCTGCCAGTGCCATACAGTTTGGCCCGTTTATGGACTTACTGTCTCCTCAGCTGAGGTGTCTATGGGAACGCACTGGCAGCAAACCAGATCAGTTTAAATCTCCCTTGGTTTTGTACTGCAAGACAAAAGTCAAGGAATGTTCACACGGTTACAGTGTCTTCTCCCACAAAGCATGATGAACAGCATAAGAACTTAAATCCTTCCCATGTCTGTCACAAACACGTCTCCTTTATGCTTTGTTCTGAAGCATTACTGATATGTCTGAACATTTCACTTCTGTAGATCCTGCTCGTCTCGGATTATTTCTATGCCTTCCTCCGACGAGAGTACTACCTCACTCATGGACTCTATTTGACAAGGGAAGATGGAACAGAGGCCATGCTTGTTTTGAAGTAAGAATCATGTTCACCATTCCTTGGGAAATGGACTACGCTAAGGAACATGCAAAGCTTGGGGTACATGGGGCGGGTGGGGAAGGTTCGGACTTTGGATGAGGTCGGACTTTGAGGATGATACCTACTGACAGAGCTGAGGATGTTCTGGGAATACCCTCTTGAGCTACAACAGTGAACTCGGTGCAGAGACTGTTAAGAGCTGCAAGCAGGAGCCACAATGCCTCCGTTGGAGCATCTCCCTTCTTTCCTCAGCCATGCTTTTTACTGCAACCTCAGCCATCAGCTCTGAGCAGTCCAGCAGGAACTGGAGGAAGTGCCTGGGCTAAAAACAGGGCTGAATCTCTGGCCCAGAAAGAGCTGAGAACGTAATCTGTTTACTCTATTGTCCTTGCTTCTTGGAAATGTTTGTTTCTCCTGGAAATTCCCCCTTCACTGCTTTGACCAGTAGTAGTCCTGTTTGGCACGTGGCAATCCGCCTAAGCCTTGGCTGCAGTCAACTCAGATGCCCTTTCTCAGTTCTCATCCTGTTGTTGGATCTGGAAAAAACACATCTGCTCAGGCACAGTGAGAACTTGTGAAACAAATGGGTGACCCGCTGGAAGGAGGACAGCTTAGGCTGCTGTCATAGATTACAGATAATAGCTCATGGTAAAATCACCATCTTGGAGCTCGAACTTCTAGTGAGAGCTGGCACTGGGGTGAAAGCAGGCGCAGCACAGGTATGGGTAGCTGGTGTATTGCATTGAAGCAACACAGACAGTTTCATGTTAGGAGTTGCACAGAAGCATTACGGGGTCTCAGAAGAAGGAACACTACTGTGGAGATAGACTCCCACTGTTTCTTATATCTGTACATTACATAGCTTGGCAGTGCGAACCAGGAGGTGTCAAAATCTCCTCTTTTAAGAGCAGAGACCAAATTCAGAAGGAGCCTCAGATGCCACTTCTGTGGAGTTGTTGAGCTCCAGGTGTTCCACAGCAGCTTAACAATACAGGATATTCCCTCCCCAGTGTCATCCTCTTGCAAATACAGTGATGGTATCTTGTGGCTGTGCATAGAGGACTGCACAAAAAAACAGCATCCCTTGGTTTCCCCCGTTTCTTCCCTTTGTATACGTTCAGATCTGCTCACTTAAGAGCTTTTGCTGCTGACCCCATGAATGTGACTGACTTAGGGGAACCCAGGCTGGATTCTTTCTCTGCTGGTTGCATGTTGGCACTGAGAAGCATTAGCTTAAACACAGTGTTGGAAACTTTTTCGCTGGTGTCTGGGAAGGAAGCAGCCAGCTTGCCCCACTGATTGAGCAGTTGAGACACCAATATGCCAGGCCCTGCCCTGGCAGTTGTATAAACAGCTCGATTTTCGTCTTTTCTTTCTTTCTGGACAATAATAACTTTTGCCTTATTGCACTGCTATTAGCGCTTTGTCCGATGAGTGGGTTTACTCTGAGCCCAGCTCTGCCCATCCTGCACTCAGCTGCTCCTGCCTGGGAAGGCCACACAGCAGCTCTGCACCTTGGTCCGAGGTGGGTGGCACTTGGAGCCAGGGCTGCTCTCGGCTGCCATGTGCCTGTGGCATGTCAAAGAGCACAATAAACTGCAAGTTTTAAATGCCTCTTGTGTGCTCTGTGTTTAACAAGGATGGGATGAGGAGCAGAATTCATTTCTGTGGGTTGCAGAGCACGACTTAAGCTGTGGAAGAATCTCAGGTTTTTCTGTTAATTTGTTGTTGTAAAGGGGGAGGAAAGAACAGGATTTTTTTAACTGCTGCAAGACCTGAAGAGTTTTTCACTTGTATCTAAGGAGAATAAGTATTCCCAGGATTAAGGAGTCTGGGAAATGCTGGTTTTGGCTGGAGGAGACCAGGGGGCTCTTGAGGTACACCGAAAGGCAAACTAAGGGGTCCTAAGGGAACCAGAGGGCAAATGGGGGCCCCGAGGGATACTGAAAGGCACACAGAGTGCTCTGGAGGGCGCAGAAGAGTGCACAGAGGGGTCCTGAGGGGACTAGAGAGCAAACAGGCATCATGAATAGATCAGAGGGAAACAAAAGGCCATGAGGCACACAAAAAGGAAAAGAGATGTCTCAGAATCACAGAATCACAGAATCACAGAATCGTTTAGGTTGGAAGGGACCTCTGGAGATCATCTAGTCCAACCTCCCTGCTCAAGCAAGGTGACCTAGAGCATATTGCCCAGGATCACATCCAGACGGCTTTTGAATATCTCCAGGGAAGGAGACTCCACCACCTCTCTGGGCAACCTGTTCCAATACTCTGTCACTCTCACAGTGAAGAAGTTTTTTCTCAGGTTCAGATGGAACTTCCTGTGGTTCAGTTTCTGCCCATTGCCTCTTGTCCTGTTGCTGGGCACCATGGAGAAGAGGCTGGC